AGGAACCCCCCAAAACCCTATTCTAAATTAGTAAGGCCCCTACATGAATAGAAGAGTGCTAGAGGGCTTGTCGGGTTTCTGAAATTTGTTGGGCAAATCTCACAGAGTGTAGGGACTTTTTGGGACTGCAAGAGAGCCTCTGTAATTAGGGTTTATGAAGGGGCCGAAATAATTATACCAATACGATTTTGGGGGGCTCCTTATTGTCATTATAGTATCATGGACCCCCAAAACCCTATTCTCATTAGCAAGGCCCCTATATTGGTCTGGGCGGTTTCGTGATCATTGGGGGTATACGGTTCAGAGTTTACGACTTCAAGAGGGCGTTCATGTCTATGTGATTTCGGTTGGCATTTATGGAATTTAGAACTCCTTACACGAGCGCTAGCCCGGTGCCCGGGTGTTGGGTTTCGGATTTGGTGGTGTTTAGAGTTCGGGCAAGTGGTATATGTCCGGATATCTGGAGCTTGAGAAGTTGAAGAGCTGTAGGGTTTTGCTAGGGGAGCCATGCCAAGCATCCTCGACTGTGGCGGATCTTGTTGGATTCGACTTCCCGCCTCAGCCGGAGCACTGGAACCCGAAAAGTGGCTACTTCAAGGCACCGGAGGGGTAGTAAGTCGATTACAAGCAGAGTTGTACGTACCCCAAGCCAAGCCCTCTACTCACCGAAAACAGAGCATAATGAGTAAGCCTTTATGGCTGAGTAGGTAACCTTTAACCTTTTGGGGTTTATATAATCCTACCATAATTTGAAAAGGTTAACCTTTTTGGGGGCTAGGGTACTCAGCCCCTAAGTAAGACTTAGTGAGAGTTTCAGCAGGCCTCGCCAGCGCGGGCATCGCGGCGAAGGTTTGCCGGCGAGCACAGAAAGGAGGCCCCGAAAACGGGCGGCTCGCGGGGGAGCTTTTGCGGTTTCAGGGTTTAGAGGTTTCGGGTTTGAACAAACCATGCATAGCCTTGATTTTTGCAAGTTGTTATGTTCCTTAGCTATTGAATGTGACTTTGGTTGTTGGTGAGTTCGTACCGAACGAGAACCCATGTATTTCTTGTCTATGGGTGCTGTGTGTAGGGCTAGCTTTCAACGGGGGGTTTAGATTGTTGCGGCTCGCGACTGAGTATGCCCATTATAAAACCTAACCTTATACGCGAAACTCTAGACCCCACACCGTAAGCATTACAACCTACACCCTACACCTTCCACATGCTGCACGAAACCCAAACCCCTGAAGCAAGCTGATATTTTTCCATGACTACGAAGAAGTCACAAGAGGCTTCCACAACATAAAAGCCACACGCTGGCGATGGAGGTGAAGTCTTCTTGTCATAGAACCCACCGTAGAACCTCCTAATCCTTCAAACCACAACCCTGAGCCATGAGGGACCGAGCGCCAAAAGCCCAAAGCCCCCACCCTAACCTTTATCCTGCAGCGAATCGCCGGCTTCTTGTCTTCTGGGCTCGGCTAAGACCTCAACAGCGTGCAGAAAGGGCTTCTTTCATCCTACGCCTCTGAATCCTTAAAAACCCCATAGCCCTATATCCCCTAAAGACCCAAACCAAATGCCTCAAAAACAGCAAGACCCGAAAGCCGCAAAGCATGACATCCCCTCCAAACACAAGCTTGAAGTCCCAAAACCCGAAGACGAACAAGCCATGAAGCCCCTAGAGACTATAGAGCCCTGAGAATTTTAACCCCAACTTCCAAGACCCCTAAGACATTGTTATTCCCATTATGGAATCTCTAGAGACCCCTTAAAGATTATAGAGTCCTTCTGACTATACACTTAAGTAACCGTCAGCGACCTCTCACAGGAAACCTTAAAACCTCATATCGGCCCTACCAGGAGGCCCAAGCGGGCCGGTCCTGAGAGAAAAGAAGCGTGCACGAAAGGCCCATCGGGGGGGCTTTCATAAGTGAGGCTTTCGTGGTATCTGTAACTATGAGCTCGCGATAACTGCTTTGGGATGTTGGGGCTTTAGAGTTCTAGGGTTTGTGGTTTTCGGGTCGAGGCCACTGCAGCGACCACGCTCCTCAATGCATGATCCATTTGCGTGCAGCACACCAGACAAGCTAGTGCGGCCGGCCCCGCCCCCTGTTAAAACTTTCGAGGTGTAGTCTCCCCCAACTTCCATAGCACACTGTGTGCTCTATGGGATCACTCAATGATTTATACGGTTTTTGGAGAATGTGAACTTATGGTACAGGGATGCCACCAGAATCCAGGTCTGGTGGTTTGAGCCACGTCGCGCCGACACCATTTAGGGTTTAGGGTTTTAGGGTTTAGGAACTACCATGCCTTAAGCAGGTGCGTAGGGTTGAGGGAAGCGTTTACTTCTCAGGTGTCTGGTTGCGAGCAACGAACTTGTAACATGTCTGCACGGAGACCACCAGACAGACCTCTGTGGAAGCAATATTCATCATTACGATGTTCTTGAACAGTGCTGACTTCGTCCAGAAGCGCTTGAAATATTGATAATGACTATAAGGCCAAGTTGGCCGCACAAGGGAATGTGCGTAACATGGAGATTAATGTCAATGTAGGCCCACCACAGGGGCATGAGAAGCGGGCACTTAAGTGACAGTGAGTTTTAGATGCACACCAGGGGTTGACAGGTTTGGACTCTAGTGGCATGGCCTGGAGACTCCTCGCGCGGTCCGAATCAATGAGTGTTGCGGCAAGTTCAGGTTTCGGGCCAAGCCCTTAAACCGCTAAACATCAAACCTAAACTCTTCAAGCCAACACACCCCAAAGCCTCATTCGGCCCAGGGTATATCCCAAGGACCTGTTTTGCATCAACAACGAGTTTCTGTATGATTATTGTTATTCTCAATATATGGGTGGTTGTCAAAATTATGGTCCCTTTTTGGGTCTTCAAGGGACCATAATTTTGATAACCACCCATATGGGTACTTGGGACCATTTTATGTTTGGCTTTTCGAGAGACTGCGAAGCCCGGAGGATGCGCGGGAGCGCCGCTTAGAACAGTTTCGAACGCCCTACGTGGCGAACCGCCCATCCGCCGCGTTTGCCTCGAGGGTTTTAGAGTTTAGAAACCACATTTGAGAGTCTCAGACAATAGGGGATACCTTGTTTTGGGGTCCTTATAATAGGGATCCTATTCTTTAGGATACTATATTAGGGTCCCCTATTTTCGGAAACCCCCATTTGGAGACACGAAGAGGCCATAAGTGGGCCACAAGGGTTCCACCGGTTCCTAAAGCTCTACACGGGTTGTACAGGGGTATGGGGCTCAGGTAAGGGTGTTGAGGGTGTTAAGTGATCAAGGCTTCGTGAGCAGCATGCGTGTCAGCCATAGCCGTATCGGAGCAATAATGGTATGAATAATGTAGAGAGCAGTTGGACTATGGCAGGACTTATCGTCATGATACTGCAAGCCTCTAAACCCGTACCAGAAATTCTTATGTTAATTTCATGGACGTCGGTTCAGGACTCAAGCAGCCTCTGGTCCTTCACAAGGGGTCAGGTCGGGACTTCTTGGCTTTGGGTTTAGGGTGTATCAACTTCGTGTTTAGGGACAGAAAAGATAGAGTTCAGTATGGTTCAGCGGATGGCATCGGACCATGCCAGCTTGAAGCACCCGGGCGGGAGGTTCGAGCCGTTGCGTTTCTTGTCCCCACGCCATGTATCTGCCGAACTCTGCATACCCCAGATCTGCTGTGCTGCTTCACAACATTCTGCAGTGTTAAGCTGCCTGGCATTCATACTGTACTTGGAGGATCATGGGACTTAGTAACTAGGGTTATAAATAAGGTAGCTATAACTATAACCCCAATTAGGGTACTTATAACCTTACTTACTAAGTCCATCTAAGTCCCATGATCCTCCAAGTAGGGAAGATCAAGAAGCCGCATGCCAAGTTTCGGACCTCTCAACCGGGGGCTGAACAGGAACGAAGCGACATGTGCAAGAGCATGTGCTGCGTGGGCACATACCCAGCTACATGGCCCAAGAAAAGTGTGAAAAGGCCAGGTGCCCTCGACCCAGGCCGGAATGCCCTGACCCTTACCTTTCTCTGTCCAGAAACCGCCAAAACTAGAGGGGACGTATCAGCGTATCCGTCAGAATAGTAGGCGATTGGATTCACTTGGTCGCGGCGGACACCCCCAACCTGCCAGGAAACGAGCCGCCGCCCCTCTCGGCGAGGGGTTCGCCGAAGACCGGAGCTTGGGAGAAGGTCGGGATTGTTCAGCTTTTTTGGTGCTTTCACAAAGAGAATGTCTTAGTTTGTTTTGTCGTATGTTTGTTGTGCGTTGACCTCACTTGGACGGTAATTACATGATGTGCAGAAGCTTGGCACACACGCACAGACACAGACACGGACACAGACACACAGACACACATTAGCGGACCCTACTCTGATTATGTTGACGTCCCTTTGCTGATTTCAGAAGCTCCTTCACCTTTTCTTTGACGCGCAAACCAAGCGACTGAAACGTGACCCCGAAAACCCTGTACAGACTCCTCTCAAGCCTTTGAAGACCTTATAGATCCGTGTTGCAATCGAAACCTCATAAATGTAGGGACCTAAAGAACTGCCTATACTATTTTTGGGGCTCCTTTTCCTTAAAGTATAATAAACCCCCAAAACCCGATTCTAAGTATTACGGTCCCTAACCCCTCGAGCAACTCTACCCACATTGCCCTGAGGGCGCACCAGAGATGGAGTCGATGCGGCAGGGCCAGTTCCGATCTCCCTGGACGAACCAGGCCCCCACTGGGGTAGTTTTCTAAATGGGAATGTCAGAAATCTAGGGTACCTTATTTTGGGGTCCGTATAATAAGGATCCTACTAGTTGGGGTCCTATATCAGGGTCCCTTATTTTCTGAATCTCCCAAATTAGGGTCCCTTTGGGGGGTCCTTTTTACAAGGGTGGTGTACTATATAGGGAACCTAAAAAGGGACCCTAATCTAGAGAACTACCCACTGCGCTCAGGACAGTAGAAATCATTGGATCTTGACAGGGTTTAATTAGGCTTAATCTGTAAAGGTTTAGCATCTGGGTGTTACAGCTGCAGTCTTCTTGCATTTGCATACAAGAGCTCTGTAAGGTTGAAACAGGAGGTCTTTAAGGCTTTATGTTTTTTTATAATCTACCACGGTTGTCTGGAGCCACATGGGCAAGTATCTGAGCTCCCCTGAAGCAACCAGCCACCCTAAATCGCCCGGCGTTTATACCTTCCTGCATGCGGGTAGTTCTCTAAATTAGGGTCCCTTTCTGGGTCCCGGCACCCTTATGAAAAGGACCTCCAAAGGGATCCCAATTTCGAGAAATACCCCTGTCTTTGTGGCTGACATTGGGTTTCGGGCTTTGCGTTTCGGATCTAGGCCCGGGCTTTCGGAGTTGTTATTTGGGAATTCGGGTGTGGGACCTTCATGATTCAAGACTCAGTTTTCTTAACATGATTGAGGATTGAAGTGTTGTATGTCGTGGGTGTGGGTTTGGGGATTGCGGACAGTGTGGGCGATTCTATGACTCTACCCTTTGCAAGGTCAGCCCGTTCTGCTCCACAAAGTGTTGGTGCAACGTCGCATGTAGGTTGTCCCAGTATCCGAACAGGACAGAGGCTTCCAAGCATTTCTACGCACGAACCCTGGTGCATGTAGGACAGAGATACTAATCCGTGCAGTTTCGCTTCAAAGCCCGCCGATTCAGCTTTGCCAAAGACATCTCCATCTTGCAGCTCGATAGTTCCTACTTGTGGGCTCGGTACAAAGCCTGAACCCCACAGCCCCTCAAGAGTAAACCTGGGGTTTAGGGTTTAGGGCCCTAAACCCTAAACCCTAAACCGTAACCCACGCCGAAGGTCTACGACCGCTGGGCCCCGGAAGATAACAAGCAGCTGAAGACCGACCGGCAGGCTCCACCGAGTTCTAGGATTCTAAGGACTCATATTTTAAGGCTTTTAGGCCCAAAGACCCTATTATAAAAGGCTTTTGGGCTATGTTGATGCTAAGGGGAGGGATGTCTGAAGCGAATTCGATTCGCAAGTGGGATCTGTGGAGCCCTGCACGGTAGCGAGCAGCCTTTAATACAGCTTAGACGTTCTCCTCAAACAAGTACGTAGCATTAAGGGATGTGATGTAATTTGATCAGGGTCTCGGGCATGACGGCGTTGCACATAATGTCTTGTGTGCGTGTCTGCGCGTGTTTCCATCTGTGGGCTATGTAGGGTGCTGTGCGAGCCAATCTGCAATCCTTTTGCGACTTGGGTAGTTGTCAAAATTATGGTCCCTGTTGGGGTACCCTAAATAATAAGTGCCGTATTATAATAAGGACCCCAAAAGGGACCATAATTTTGACACCACCCACTTGAAGGACCTTAGAAGACAGTAACTAGGTTTGGGTCTGCTGGGCATATAGGGCAGCTGCAAGCAGCAAAGGAGGCTCCGAGCCCTACCATGACGTTCCCTCAACAACGATATGGGAATTTCCGAAAATCAGGGGTACCTTATTTTGGGGTCCTTATATTGAGGATCCTATTGTTTAGGGTACTATATTAGCGTCCCCTATTTTCGGAAACCTCCATAAGGCCCAGTTCTCGTAGCTGCAGTTAGAAAAAGGCGATCGAAGGCTTTAGCAGACTGTCGGACCGCTATCGGACAGCTATCACCATCCGCAGCTTATATAACCCATACCAAAGAAGCTTCGAACATCCCCGACCCAACAACCCGAAATCAACTTAAGCAAGTCCGGAACCGTTGAAGAGCTGACCCTGAAGCCCCGGGCCTTAAACACCCTTGAATCCTCAATCCTGAACACCCGCCAGCACCCTAAAGTCTTTCTCCACCTGAACCCTCAGCCCTAAACCCTAAGACCCTATACTTCTCAATCCCAAACTTATTCCCCTTAACCCCCGGGCTCGAAACCCTGCAATATCCCCTTTCGTTTAATCTTTCGTGGAAGATTTAGCAGTACAGGGCTCCGTATTAAGATCTTCTCAGCATAAAGTGAAGACCCGAAATGCCCTAGTCTAGTCATGTAGGGGTTTCCGAAAATAGGGGACCCTAATATAGTACCCTAAATAATAGGATCCCTATTATAAGGACCCCCAAATAAGGTACCCTAATTTTCGGAAACTCCCATGTAGGCATCTACAGTAGCGGCTGGCATCCCGTTGCAGGGCGGCCTCGCGCGAGCCAGAGCTTTCCAGACCCCAACGCAGCGGCCGCACGTCGAGCAAAAGGTCATTCGGGTCGTACGATCGTGGTAGACGATTATAGTAAACGGTAGTATAGTATAGTATAGTATAGTATAGTATAGTATAGTATAGTATAGTATAGTATAGCATAGCATAGTATAGTATAGTATAGTATAGTATACTGCAGCATGTGTATCGTATGGCATAGTACCTTGTAGCATAGTCCAGTGGTTTAGTGTCTTAGGGTGTGCGGCTGAGGGTTTAGAATCGAGAGTCTTTACATGCTGCAGCAGTGGTAGTGTGAGGACTGGAGTGTTCTTTTTGGGCAGTTCTCAAAATTAGGGTCCCTTTCTAGGTCACCATTATACCCTTTTAATAAGGACCCTAAAAGGGACCCTAATTTAGAGAACTACCCTTTTAGCTGCCCGCAGAACTTATCGGGACGAGATGAAGAGAACTGATCTTGAAAAAGGCCGCAATTGGCATAAAAATAGCTGCCATGCCTGAAATCTTAATTGACCCTAAAGCCCGAAGCCATAAACCCTGCAGAAACCCCTAAACCCCCAAACCACAAAAAAAATATACCTCCAAGACTCCTGCTGGAGTCCCGCCACTCCCCGCCATCCCGCCACGCCCCCTCAACCAAAAAAGCCCTAAACCCTAAACCCTAAAAACCTTAAACCCTAAACCCTAAAAACCCTAAACAGCGCCCAAGGCAAATCCAAACCGCTGTGGAAGAGCGGGAGGCCGACAACACGCCGGAGTGGAAGAAGTTCTATCCAGGCCCCGGGTACTATTCTGGGGGCTCCTTATTATACTTCTAGCATAAGTTTGGGGGCTCCTTATTATGATTTTAGTATCTTTTCCGTGGAGTTTGATGAGGCATTTAAGCGGCTTTAACTATAGGGTTTAGGGTTTAGGGTTTTAGGGTTAAGCGTTTGCTTCCTCAGACCTTTTGGATTCCATTCGGAGCTACGGGGCAGCTTCAATAAAGAAGGACTTCGAGGATTTGGCTTGTGGGGTGTGTCTGGCCCTATACGGGTCTACAGGTACGGGTGTTTCTTCAATCTTGAGGCTGGGTTGAGTTTGGAAGGGCCTTCAAGGTTTATACGAGCGTTAAGGGATTAATTAGGGGTCGAAGGTTCATTGGTAGCTATGGATGGCGTTGGTTTCGGGGTTCCAAGTGTTGGGATTAAGAGTTGTTCTTTCGATGCTTCATTGGTAGGAATAGGTTCATGCGAGCCTCAATAGCCTGTTGAAGGGCCGACGGGGCTTCGCGAGTTCAAGGTTTCAGCCCTGGAGCACTTATTTTACACTTATTTTTGCAGCAACCAGCGAGAGCAATTAGGCGGCTCTCGGACTACCAGTAACCAGTACTGATCAGTACTGGTGCCAATCCTACTCCTACTTCTGTTGCTACTGCTACCGCTACTGCTACTGCTGCTGCTGCCGCTACTGGTCCGACGACTGCTGCTGCTGTACCACTAAGAACACTACCACACTTCCGCCGCGACTACCAACCCTGAACCCTAAGACCTGTAAAGCCGTAAACATTGAGAATCTGAACCCTAAACCCTAAACCCTGAACCCTAAGACCTGTAAAGCCCTATAAACATTGAATCTGTAATGCCCGAAGCAACAACGACCGGGAGGCCTTGCGCCGGTATACACACTGCCAAAGAACCAGCGCATGACGGGTGCCCAAACGAACGTTTTCGAGAGGCCCGGGTTTTTGGAGCTATTTAGGGTTCAGTGCTGTGGGGGGGGGGGGTCTTGACTTTAAGGTCTGAAGTTCAGGTCCTTCGGCTTAGGCTTGAAGAGTTGAGGTTTGATACGTTTCGGGGTAAGTGGGATGTTTCGTGGTTGTGGTGTAACGTCTAGGGCTCTGGAGTATGGGTCCATGGATCGGTCGGGGTGATCAACATGAAATTTCGCATGGGTCCTAAGCACTTCCAACGCGCCGCTTACAGTGGGTTGGAGTGACGAGCGCAAGTCCCGAAAAACTGAAATTTCGCTATGTCCCAGGTACTTCACGTGGCAAGGACGGAGAGCAGCCCAACAAGTATATCGAATGTTCATGCCCCAAACCCGTAAACACCGAAGATGAAAACCGAAGAGAGCCTCCCAATCTCTCTGTTTCACCCTGCACCCTACACCCGAAGCCGCAACGCTATACTTGAAAACCCCACGAAGCCCTTAAACCCTGGCCCTTGAACAATGAATCATGATATCCTCTGAAGGCCCTCATATAACTGGTAGTTATACTGCAATACTCGCCAAAACCCAACATGTATTATGCCAAGGTCCCTACAGAGCAAATGCAAAATCCCGTTGAAAATCGTAGGAGCCTCATTAGAAGCCTCGTCACAAAACTCTCAGGCACGCCTTCCGAGCGGGGAACTTCGGCGACATTTTCAAGCAGACGATCGTGCAAACGGTGGTCGACTTGAAAGTGAACAAAAAGGCCCGGTATGCTGTCCTAAGATTGCTGTTGTTTCGTTGGTTGTGGTTGTTGTTGTTGTTGTTGCTTTTGGATACTTGCTTTGCGGCTTGTCTTCTGTTGAACCTGGATCTGGTAGAGGGCTGTGTAGTATGTAAGGTGTTGAAGAAGTCTTTGTTTAATGGTTGTTCATAAGGTTTTAGTCATTTAGGATTCAGGACTCATGTTTGATGGCTTAGGGAGTCAGGGTTTACAAGGGCTAGCAGGGTTCAGGTTATACAGGGGCCCCCAGGCCCGGTTTAGGGTTTAGGGTTTAGGGTTTAGGGTTGAAGGTTAGAGGGTTTACAGAATTCGGTGTGATTGAGGGGTTTGCGCCCTGCTCGCCCCCACGTCCCAATGCCCGACTCAGAACAACCGAGAGATCCGTCTTTCCGCAGAAAGCCTTTTAAAGTACGTCCACTATTTGAATCCTAAGTCCCGAAACATGTCGAAGCCAAAGTCAAAACATAGTTACTCTACGACCCTTGCATACCCCAGGCCTTGTTTGTTTTCTTTTTGCAACGCAGGACGCCGCCTCACCGGTTTGGTACGTCGAGCCTTGCGGTGGGGAAGGCGGGTCGCATTGCTTGTCAGATCCAGGGGCTCATGCCCTGGAAGCCTACTTGGAGGATCATGGGTCTTAGTAAGTAAGGTTATAAGTCCCCTAATTGGGGTTATAAGTATAGTTACCTTAGTTATAACCCTACTTACTAAGTCCCATGATCCTTTAAGTAAGCCGCCCCCATGATTCTCCCAGCAGCTTCTGTAGCACATTTGCTTCAAAGCTGTCGTGGTTGGCTCGAACCCCCTATGCACAAAGCCGCGAACCCTGAACCCTGAACCCTACACCCAAAACCCTACACCCTACACCCTAAACCCCGTAACCCAAGCCTAGCGGCTTCTAATAAAGCATACCATCAAAGACAGAGGTTTCCGCCCAATTGTATATTTTTTGCAATGACGTAAACAACTGTTTCGGGCGTAGGGTTCTCGCTGACCAGAATCCTACCACAATCCTACCATAGAGTGAATGTAAGTACCCTGCATGAAACCCACAGGACAAAACCCCAAATATTTTAGTTAAGATATTTTCAAGACCCTAAACCCTGACCTTGAGAAACTTGAACCCTTCAAAATCGACTGCCTCAGCCTCACTTTGAGGCTAAAAAAGAGGCCATGGCTGGGCCGGGAAACCCTCAAGCATGGAATCCCGGTCTTAGAGGTTCTGTGGGTATCCCTATGTATGTATGACTCAGTCATCGCAGTAAGGATGCCGGTGTTCTTAAGGGGCTAATGGAGAACGCAGGTTCAAGGTTTAGGATTAAGGGTTTGGGGTTTTAAGCTTAGGATTCAGTGAGCTGGCAGGCGAATACCATGTCCAGCGCATGCGAAGTGAGATGGACGATCGCAAGCCGATGAAGTGGCCCACGGCTGAGGACCTCGTCTCTTTGATGTAGAGCCCGGAGACGCTAGTAGCAATAGACCTACTAGGTTCCTGAGTAGTACCCTTTTGTCCTTTTTTTTGTTTAGCACCCTTATTAAAACCGAGTATTAGGAAAAAGGGCACCCTTATTATTATGGGGCCACTCAGGAACCTAGCCTATGAAAAGCCGCAAGAACCAAGGCCTGGTTACAAACACCTCTTTGTCAAGGTCACTCAAGTCAAAGGTTCCAATCTTCCTGAACACCTGGTACCTCCTCAAGACTCCTGGTAATGCAAACGAGCGAATATCATCTGAGCTGTGAATTTTGTAGTTCTATATCGGTTAGATCTCAAGGTTACAGTTGAAGACTTCCCCATAAGTCAGGGACCTATGAATGAACGGTTCGCAAGCTGCGGCATTGGATGTGGACGCCCAAGACGCCCGAGACCCTAAACTAATCCACAAGCCCATGCATGGAGGATTACATGTTGAAGCTAGGCTCGGCTAGTTCATTGCTGTACTGCATATTCTAGTTTGGGCAACTTAAGTTCAGTTCCTCAACAGCAACAGGGGAGGTGCTTACCGCTGCTTGTTACCACTGCTTGTTCATCCTACAGTGTTTGCCACTCCTGCCGTCATGCATGTTGGTACTGCAATGATGTTGGTCGCACCTATCTGGGGGTTTCTGAAAACAGGGGACCCCAATATACTACCCTACATAGTAGGATCCCTATTATAGGGACCCCAAACTAAGGTACCCCCTATTTTCGGAAACTCCCATCTGACCTCTTGCTACAATGGAACAGTTGTAGAACAGCGGAGGCCGAAGGTGTACATGGGTGGTTGCCAAAATTATTGCCCATTTTTGGGGTGCTTATTATAATACGTCACCTATTATTTAGGGTACCCCAAAAGGGACCATAATATTGACAAACTACCCACATGGGAGTTCTGGGTTGTTGTAAGATTCCTGTCGGCTTTTGTAGACTGCCCTCGGGTTTGTAAAGAGACGTGCAGATGTTTAGGGTTCTGCTTCCGGTAACCCTCACTGCGAGAAGGCCATCCACTCCAAAACTCGAACCTGCACATTTTGACAGGGACTGAAAAAACCACAGGCTCCATTAACTCGACCGAAGGACCTCTACTCCCAAAACTAAAACCTACATATTATGACAGGGACTGAAAAACCACCGAAGGACCTCTACTCCGTTCTGGAGAAGGAGGACCTGACATACATGCCCATGGAGGTCAAGGGATGGATGGACTCGGTGAAGCTGCTGACGCCCGGTGCAGATTCAAGGGGTGCAGACTAGCCATGCTCATGGGTTTAGGGTTTAGGGTTTAGGGTTTAGGCTAAGCCCTCTGCGGATGTAATCTTGAGTTTGTGGGTGTCACTTCCTTAAGTCCGTCGGACTGTAGTGCTGAGGAAAAGTCCTAGTGTCAAGGGTGGCGACGACTGCGACGACTACTGCTAGTACGATTGCTACTGGCATGTCACTGCTGCCTCTGCTACTATGCCCAAGGAACTTCAATGAGAGCATGGACTGGGAGGTGAAAGGCGAAGGACCGGAATGACTTCGCGAGGGGGGTGCGGTTTGCTCGCTTCATTTCTAGGGTCTCGTGGGAGTTCTGAAACCTATAAATCTTTGATGAGGAACCTCACTGGTTTTCACTCAACACTCGGGGAGAAGTCACGAGGTTTTGAGGTTGTCATGACCTGCGACTGGAACAGATAGTTAGTAGCCGAGTCAGTCACCCTCAAGCGGACTTGAGCTTCTTGGGGTATTTCTCACCCCATCAGATTTGAGCCACTAGCCTCTTGGGCCCAGCAACTCTGCAAGCAGATAGAGACAAAGATCATTGTGACCGCCTGCAGATTCTCGAGCACACGTCGTGCTGAAAACCGAAACTCTTGGCAATACAAGCCCCATGCGCTTAGCCCCGGTTCTTAACCGAAACACACCCACCCACCCACACACACACACACCCACACACACACACGCACACACAACACTCACACACATAAATATATATATATATATATATATGTATACACACACAGACACTGGGCCCCAAGCCCCGAGTCCGAACCTCTTAGACTGTTCTGAAGATCAGCCTGCGCGCGAGACGAAAAGAGTGAACCCTACGTCTTGAGACCAGCAAATTAATTACGACACAAGCCGACATTTCAAGGCATCGAAGTGAAGCTTCAAGCCATGCATCCGAAAAAATTAAGCCAAACCACCTGTCTCACAAACCGAACCCCACCCTCCAGCCCTAGACTCTAGAGCCCTACCCATAGACATCCATTTAACAACCCGAGTTACCCTTCACAACCCCCAAACAGCAGGCTCCAGAAGCAAAAACAGATTCTACATGTGTTTGTTGTTGTGGTATGTTCACTGCACAGGAGCCATGGAAGCCGAGGAACAGCAAGGCATTCAGTCGCTGGCCTCTAGGGATTAGGGCTGAGGGCTTTTTAGGGTTTACTTGGTTTTTGGGGTTTTGGGATGAGGGCTGGGGGCCTTTTGAGGCTTAGGGCTTTGGGTTTAGGGTTTAGCTTTTTCGGGTTTACTTAGGGTTTTGGATGTTTGGGAAAAGGTGCTGTTTTTTCGTTTGTTTTCACGGGTTTGGGTTATGAGGGTTCGGGATGAGCTACTGGGAGGCGGCTTCACAGTTTACTGCAGGGCTCTTATGATGAGGGTGTCGAGCAAAAGCTCCAACCAGGGATTCAGCTTGTTGAAATTCCGCCCCCCCCCCCGGTTGTACTGATTTGGCAAACTAACCACTTACAGGTTCATGGGCAGATTTCAGTAGGGGCGATAGTGAGTAGGCTTGCTTTGCCCTTGATACCTGTGATGTCGGCGAGATGTACATGACCCTGCAAGTCGAGATCAGGAGGATCTAAACCAGGTCCTCGCGAAGGCTTCCGTAGATGTAAGACGCCAAGATTTGTTCGGTTCCGGTTGGGTGTTGTGCCACAAGGGCTTGTGGGGTGTGCAGTATGAAACAAAAAGGTTGAGTGGGTTTCAGTGGACCCCGAAACTGATATCTGGCACCGGTAGTATCACTTTGCAAGAGCCCTAAAGACTTGAAAAGGTCTACGAGCTCAATTCTAAAGCCCTGCGCAAAGAGGTCGTCCTTCAAGGTACCCCAAAGCTTACGCAACCCTGCAAAGCACCAGCCCCTCCACACTCCCCTTGAAACAAACAGATAACAAGCAGATACACAGGCTATTCGTAAGTAGGTACAGTGCAGGTAGACTCTTCAGCAGCTACGAACACAGATATATTAAACCCTCAAACCCTAAACCCTAAACCCCTAAACCCAAACTCCTGAACCCCTAGGTCTTTCCTCATCTTTGCTTATGCGAACAAGTAAGGTGGCTTCCAAGCTCGACCTTAGTGGCTGCACGGCTTCTTAGCGCCTCGGCGGCTCAGGGCTCCCGGGCCTTCGTTGCCTTCGGGGCTTCCCTTAACGGCGACTGTCAGGGTTCCTATATGGGTGGTTGTCAAAATTATGGTCCCTTTTTGGGGTCCTTATTATAATACGGCACCGATTATTTAGGGTACCCCAAAAGGGACCCTAATTCGAGAACTACACAATATGGGCTACTAGTCAAAATGGGGTGCCTATAAAAGTTCTGTAGGGGTTCTGGCCTTCTTTGCCTTCGGGGCTTTGGGTTCTCCTTAGGTTCGAGGCTTGGGGTTTGGATCTTTGGATGTTGAATTCTGTGTATTTTCGGGGATTCGGGGTTCGTGCTAGGGTCGTTAGGTGTGGAGGCCCTGTCGTTGTTTAGCCTAGTGGTTTTGATGTCTTGCGGCAAAGGCAGGCTCAAAGAGAATGAAGGAAGCCGCTGACCCTGAACCTGAAGAGTGCCCGACTCTTCCGGTGAGTTGTTCAATCTCAGGCATCAAGGTTTGGGTTTACGGTTTAGGCCGAAGGGGCCCCGCCAACCATGTCATCCGGACCTAGTTATACACACATGCCTGCCTGCCTTCCTGCCTACCTCCCTACGTTCACAAGCTACGTCCGGTTAAAGCCTGGCGTTAAGACTGACCCTGTGGTGAGCACGCCGGGACGGAAGCGCATGTCATTCTAAACATGCGTTACCTGCTCGCGGACGCCTGGTTGATTGATGATGGGGAGCCCTAAACCCTAAACCCTAAACCCTAAACCGTGCCTCTGGAGATGTGCAGTTCGCAGTCCCATTTCTGCCCTGCAGAGACTGAGGAGTCGATGGCGTAAGGCCTCGTATCGGAGTTTGAGTATGATTAGAACCGCCTTCGAGTCCCTCTACTGTTATAGCTGTATACACCCCAAGACCCTGTTCTGATCACTCCGCAATGTAGGTGCCTATGGTATTTTGGCTCCTGGCTTTGTGAGAACTGTAGTTGGGATCCTCCGTAAGCATCGCTAGTTAAAGGATATTGCAGCCTCCGGCACGGGGCAGGGTGTGCTTGTAGCTGCTTCGAGGAAAGCAAGATCCCGTCACCATCTGGGAGGACTGCCGGTTGAGGGGTTTAGGGTTTAGGGTTTAGGGTTTAGGGTTTAGGGTTTAGGGTTAAGGGTCTTGGGCTTATCTAGTTGGCAAGTCGGTATATAGACTTGGATAAAGGGCTCTTTCTACAAGCAAACCTGCAGCCTGAAAACCTACACTGGGGCCTCAATAGTCGGAATCGGGTTATGGTATACCTGATTACCATGATCGAAATACAAGCTTCCTATGATCTGGCTGTGATATTATTCCCTTGAAACCCCCCATAAACCCTTATCAATCCTAAACTTGTTAACTCAAAAAAAGAAATAATGGGCCGTTAACCTAAAATCGCAAGGCCGCAAGTTTCCAGACCTCCATCTTGAAGCATGGCCTTGCTTCAGGGAGTTACTGTTCGATCCTTCTCCTTTTTGAGATGCTAAAGGGCCCAGCAATCCCTCAAGGGCCGAGCAGTTCTACCTATAGTCTCCATTGTAGTTCCTTTTTTGGGTTTGACCAATTATATAGTAAGGATTTTATAAGGTATGCCCCTAAAAAGGAACTACAATGGAGACCACCGGTACACTCCAGACTAAGCTCGTCTCAGTCCCGTAGTTCGCCTTTACATTGCCTCATGCCCTCAGGACAATCGCGCGGCCTTCGCAGCCATGTTCAACTTCGCCGCCTGCCATCAACGAGCTGTACGGTTTAACAGTAAGGCCAAAGCTTAGTTTAAGGCTTCGAGGCTAGTTAGGATTTATTTAGGGCTTAATTTATAGTGGCCTAGCCATATCGCACGTAAGCTTACAGCGTAAGTAAGACCCCTCAGAAGTATTCGGGTTATGGGCTTAGGGCTTGAACCCACCATGTTGAGTCTGCGAGCTCTGCGACCCGAAGTAACAGCGCTAAATGCCCTGCCTGCAATGTGCAACTTCTGCATTTCCCAGGCCCCATCATGTGCCCGAAGCCTTCAACATGAACTCCCGCCTGCCCTGAGCACTAGCTTTGGTCCCTAACCCCTAAACCCCTAAACCCTAAACCTCCAAACCCTAAACCCCCAAACCCCAAACCCTAACCTTGAAGCGTGAGTCTTAGCCCTAGGTTCCAAAGACTGAACCTCTAGCCTCGTCGCTCAAAGTTAGCAAACGACTCCCCTTAGCAAGGAACACCATAACCCACAGGGTCCTATGTACTGTTATGGGGGATACTTCCCTAAATCATAATAGTAGTTCCTAATATAGAAACCCTACATTCTACTATATCGGTACATTGGACCCTTTGGGTAACTAAACCCCAAACAGTGTTTTTCAGGCCTTTGATAGGAAACTCAAGTAAGGAGGCTCCAACCTTTCTCTATCACACACAAGCCCGTGAACTTCGGGTCTACAAGACCATATTTTAGTGTTCAGGGTTTAGGGTTTAGGGTTTAGGGTTTAGGGTTTAGGGTTTACCATATCTAACCAGTGTAAAAGACCCTTCTACAATCCCAGGACACCCTATGGCCCTAAGCCCCAAACTTTCTCAAGCCAAACCACAAGCCCTAAGCACTCTTCTACAATCCCAAGGCACCCTATGGCCCTAAGTCCCAAACTCTCAAGCCACACCGTAAGCCCTAAGCCCTCAGCCAAAATTTATTTGACAAAAAGGCACTGCAAGCCTCAACTTGGCGGACCCAGGTGCGGAACTGGAGTTCGCAGTTAGACCCGCACATCGAGCAGCCTGCTTAAAGTTGATCTTAGTCTGTGAGCTTTACGGTTGAGGGCTTATGGGGTTAAGGCATGCATCCCTTTAAAGAAAACCCTGAACAGCTCTGCAAAGGTTTAGCGCAGCTAAGTAGGTGAGGTTTAACCTGTTTCGCGTTCAGATATTTGCTGGTAGCTGTTCGAACTAATTAATTGTTGATAGAGCTAGGGTAGCCTGTTGGCCTTTACTGGGTCTTGTTAAGGAATTCAATTTGAGTCGCCACAACGTGGCTCTATCTCGCTCTCTTTCTCTCCCTCTCCCTCTCTCTCTATGTATATGTATATATATATATATATGTGTATCTCTAGAGTAAATCATATGGTGTCCTTGTTATGGTGACTTAATTCAGGTTCCTTCGCAAGAACCCAGCTGATGAGGCCCAAGAGTTGAGCCACTCCTGTAGGTAGCCTTACCGACTCAGCGGCTCGAGGGCTCACTCTGATCTCAGAGGAGCGGGTTAGGAATCCCTAATATAGGGGCCTTGATAGTTGGTTTTGGGGCCCATTTCCCATAAGTAGAATAGGGTTTTGGGGCCCATTCTACTATAATTATTATACCTTAACCTAAAGCCTCGGTCCTTAGAGCCTTGATTAACCCCTACACCCTGCTTTAAAATTGAGACGGAGGGCTAGCTTTGCCTCAGACCCTAAACCCTAACAACCCTGTTACCGATTAAGACAGATGGCCGCAGAGGCAGTGCCGAACCCGGCGGGCATTTGTTGAGCATATACGGAAGGCAGCAGTTTTGCAGTCTCTTCTTTCACTGAAACCCGTAATCGCTCGAAGATACACTAAACCAACCCTAAACCCTAAACCCTAAACCCTAAACCCTAAACCTTGGCTCCAAGGAGCAGGGCTCGCTCTGCTCTTTTGACTCCAAACCCCAATGTTGATGCGAAAAAGGCTCATCTAACCTTGAGCCCTATAATCTACTGCTCCCTAAACCCTAAACCCTTGAGCCCTATACTCTACTGCTCTAAAGGATAAACCCGAAACTCCAAACCCTATACCCTATAATCTACTGCTCTAAAGACCAAACCCCTAGACCCTAAACCCTAAACCCTCAACCCTACTGCTCTACTGCTCTAAAGGCTCATCTTCAAGGACGGCCTGAAGCACACGCACCGGCGCTGGGTGCAGCGGAGACCGGGTTCCATCTCAGAAGCGCCGGGAGCCCGGGAAGAGCATGCGCCTTTTTTGGGGGGCTTAGGGCTTAGGGTTTCAAACCCGTTTGGGGGGTTTGGGGGCGCCTGTTGGGGGCTTTAGGGCTTTGGGTTTGGGGGGTTTGGGGGCGCCTTTAGCGGAGTTTTGGGGCTCAGGGTTTAGGGTTTAGGGGAGTTTTAGGGCTTGGGGCTTAGGGTTTGGGGCGTTTGGGGGCTCCATTTAGGGTTTCGGGTTTAGGGTTTGGGGGCTCCATTTAGGGTTTCGGGTTTAGGGCTTAGGAGGAGGCATCTTACATGGGCACTATATAGTAAGGGTGGTTTGGGGCTTAGGGCTCAGAGTGTAGGTTGTGGGCTTGGGGCTGAGAGATTTATGAGGGGTGTAGGATTTAGGGCTTGTTTGTTGTTCAGTAGCCTGGTTTTCGTTTATGTGGCTGTGTTGTGTAGGACGTTTTGGACTTTTTGGTTGGGTGCTGTGACGTCATCTTGGCTAGTGTTTATTCTTGTTGGTGTTGGGGGTTGCTTGCTGCAGGTAGGGCGGAAAGGGGTGTCGTTTTGGAGGGTTGTTGGATCTACAGCTTAGCTTAGGACTGTCCGGGGTTTAGGGTTTGAGTGATTGTTCAGGGTTTGGTGGTTCTGTAGATAGAGTGTAGGGCGCACTAGGCAAATGCTTAGAATAGAGTGCAGAGATCTAGTTACAAGGTTAGGCACAGGGCAACAAGTATGCCCCTGATATGACCTTCTATCATTTTATATACACTGCTGAATCACTATTGTCAATGCCCGTGTCAGTAAGAGTCCTTCCATGAGGAAATACCGGGGCCAACTGCACCTTCCTGAGAATATGCCACCGGGACCCTGTTGAAGTAGCTGGGGTTGAGAGCCAAGTTGCCGAAGCAAAACAGAGCCTGAACCCCTGAACCTGAAACCTTACAGCCCCAAGTCTGACAAAGGTGTTCAGGTATGCTGGTGTACCGAAGACACGTTGTAGCATCATGCTGAACATGTCAAAATATGGTTCATGACGTTTGGATGATTTCAATTTATGCTTCGTATTTCTACAACATTACTCCAAACTGTGTTCATACTTGATGCAACTTGGTGTACAGATACTTCTTGGCGCCACACACAGCATCCCACCCGCCAAGGTTCGGAAAGCAGAAGGGCCAGCGTGGTGTGGTGCCTCGCTTGCACTTCAGCACACTCGACACTTCTTCATTCATGCGGTAATGTAATATCCGGATGAACAAGCCCCGGTTCTGAAAGGGCCCTCGCTCCAGGATCTCCACTACAGTTCCTATGCAGTGGAGGGGGCTTATCAAGGCCTACTTAGATCGAATTGTCCGGCCTTTGTTTTCCTATGAGCTGTCGATTGCTTTGCTTCGGGGTTCAGCTTCTTCTTTCGGGGATAGGACCATCTTGACTTTCAGGCCACGTCGGTTTTCTCCGGTATGTTGTAAACCCTCCTCCGAAAGTCCAAATCTTCCAAGGCCGACAAATAACCCCAAAGAACCCAAAGCCATTCAAATCCGAAAATCCCATACGTCTTGCAGATCCCGTGCAGAACGCTCATAAAGCGCCCAAGCACAGGTCTTCAAACCCTCAAGGAACCCCTGAACCCCCGAAAACCCAAGGCCCCTGGAGCCTATAAGCCTTAATTAGGGTTTAGGGTTTAGGGTTTAGGGTTTAGGGTTTGGGGTTTAGGGTTTAGGGTTTATCCCTATAAGCCCGAAACCAAAAGCCCACAAACTCCAACACTCGGGGGTAAACCGAAATCCCGAATGGACCATATAGCCCAGGTCTTCATCGATCCGGACTACACGAGGGGAGGTGAAGCTGAGCGCTGCCACGCCATTGCTCCTCGGCTTTTGCGTTTTTTTTGTTTGTTGCTGTTTCCCCAAACCCTAAACCCTAAACCCTTGGCCACTGTTTGGAGGCTCTTGTGTTGTTTTGTTTGTTGCTGTTTCGCGTGTTATTTGTTATGGGGCTTTTGTTTCACGGTTCATGCTTCGGTTTGTTCGAGGGGTCCAGGGCTTCGGTTTTTGGACCTGCCTGTTGGGAGTTTCGGGTTCAGGATTTCGGGCTTAAGATTTTAGGGCTCCGGGTTCAGAGTTTACTTTAGGGTCTTTCAGGATCTCTGAGTGGGTGGCATCGCGCTTCGGGCTAGTGATCCCCAGAAGGAAACAAGGTCAATCAAAAGGCTCCAAGAAAGTTTTTGGGGGTATCATTGCCTGATCATCAAGAGCGCTCGAAAGCTTTCAGGGTTCGTTGGACTGGTATGGCTTGAGGCTTTTAGGGGTCAGGTTTAATGGCGCACAGTATGAGGTTTGAGGCTTCACTTGGCTTTCGTGTGGTTGGCCGTTCTGGATCTGAAGGTTTGGTTACCTATTTTCATCAGGGCAGCAAGTGGTCAACTTTTGGTATGGATTGAGGTGTCGGCCACATGATGGCACGCAAGTTTAGGGCTTTGGGGTTCAGGGCTTTCGGATCAGTGAGGTATCGGGGTTCTTTTCTGTGGGTTGCAGGCTTAAGGTTTAGGTTTAGGGTTTAGTTTAGGGTTTAGGGTTTAGGGTTTAGGGTTTAGTTTTGGGTGTAGGGAGCTGAGGGTTCTCGGTTGCAGGGTGCTGTAGGTTCGCAGGGCTTCGATACACGATTGCCACAGCATCAACTGGTCATACGGCTCTGAATAGCAAACAGTAGTAGCCCTTTAGTCCATCTATACGTGTAGTGTAATAATATGGGGGTGTCCGAAAATACGGGACCCTAAGATAGTACCCTAAATGATAGGATCCTTATTATAAGGGCCCCAAACAAGGTACCCTAATTTTCGGAAGATCCCATATGCCCTAAAGGGATTTGTGCTTCTCAGGTGGTGGACCTCTGGAAGCATTGGCGCTCGGCGACGGTGATGGTGACGTACCCAATAGGCTTCGACATGCTGTTCAGGGTTGGGCTTCAAACCCCCATTTCGAAGCCTAAAGAATTACCGAAATTGTTCCTTAGGCTTCCTTATTAAATGATTCTACTATATAAAGGAACCCAAAATCCCGTTCTGATTATTAAGGCCCGTACGTACATTCAGCCCCATTCCCTAAGCTTAAGACCCTAAATCTTCAAACCCCGTTCTTGCATGTTGGTTGGATCCTTGGGGGTCTAGGGCGGGCTAGGTTCAGTCAGGGTTTTTTTTGGTACTTGGATGGTAATAACCAGTTTGTGGGTTGAGGCTTGAGCGTTTTGGTATGGGATGTCGGGGTTCTAGGGATTCACTGTTGAGGGTTTGAGTTAAAAGCTTGGCGTAGGATGCAGGGTTGTCAGCACTGTAGGCAGGTGTGCTGGTTTTCGGTGCGAATAGTTGCGAATACTTGCTGGATAACACTTTTCTTAGAACCATAGGTTTTGTTCTGCCTCAATCCCGCATACCTTGAAGACCTGCAGCTGCACGATAAAGGCCTGAAGCGACGAGCTCACGCATTGTTGACATGCACTTGAGAAGACTCCAGGGCTGCACTTATGTACCTCAAGGATGAGATTCCGTGACGATTAGTTTTTTGCAGTGAGTCGGGAAACCTTGGATCTTTTTGCATGTATAGAACCTAGCATACCTAACAGATTAGCTTTGTTGGGCCAAGGAAACCCTGAAGATCTTCGATTCTGGGTTACTGGGCTCCTAAACCACCTTAGTAGCCCTAGAATCCTGAACCCCCAGAAGGCACAGTCCCGGCACCCCGAGAATCCCAAAGTCCGTAGACCACAACAAAACGGTTTAGGGTTTAGGGTTTAGGGTTTAGGGTTTAGGGTTTAGGGTTTAGGGTTTAGGGTGACAGCAACCCCAGCCCTCGACGCCGTGCTTGGCTCGCAGGCCCCAAGTATGAGAAGAAAGCGCGAGCCACATCCCCAGCTCCGAGAAAGCGGGCTCGGAAAAAAATCGCCTTGGTATCCCCTCATTGACGGGCTCCTTCTATTAGCTCGACAGGGATCTTCTAGCTTCCCTTTTCAAAATCTACTGTAGGGGGTTTCGGAACAACTAGTAACTAGTATAGAATGGAGTGTCCCCTTACAGTCGCCATACAAGCATGCCTACCTCCGAACCCTAGTGCAATTGCCAAAGCCACCAATTACGTTTGCTCTGTTTTGGAAGGGCCTTGAACTGGGGTTGATAATTAGTCTTGGAATGCACCGGAGATTAGCGGAGGGTTCAGGGGGTTAGGGTTCAGAGTTTGTGAGACCGAGACCATCCATAGAGATTTCGATGTCCGCAGGGCCTTCAATCAGCATTGGCTACGGGATGGTCGGGTGAAGAATGGGCGGGGGAGTTCAGGTTCTCTCTGTCGAGCATGGCGGGCTTGTGGTTCAGGGTTCAGGATTTCAGAGACTTGGGTTTAGGGTTTAGCAATAGGTGTTCCGAGCTTGGTGGGTTTCGGACTTTTGGTTTAAGGGTGAATCGCAACACGACTACCTGGGTCTCGGGGATGTGCTTGAACTAGACTAGCAACTCTTATGTAAAGACTGTACTAATACCGAGACCACATCCGCTCTGAAATCATCGCAGATCCTGCTTTGCAATATTCTCTGTGACTTAAACCCTAAGCCCCTAAGCCCCAAACCCTAACCCTAAATCTCAAGCCCGAGCACTAAATGTGATCACATTGCTCATCAAACTTTATCCTGGAACTTAGACGTTGCTTCCCAACCAAGCCTTCGGGTTAAGGGTTTTCGAGAAGCCCATTTACACCTTGCTAGACGAGGCTCTTGTAGGGACAGGAATGGCACCCCCTACTGCATAAGTAACTAGCGGCAACTCGCCTTCTAGAATTGATAGCCGCTGCTGTTCGGGACCCATGCCCATGCCGCCAAGGACTTCAATCGAAAGCTTCGCCAGGCGGACAAGACGCTTGACTTGCTCACCATCGAGGCCTATGCCGCCTGGACCAAACGGAGATTTGCATACTCCGGGACAGCAGGGGCCAGAATACAGGGAGGGTTTGGGGGCCCATTATACTATAGTTATAATACGGAACCCCAAAAAAGAATAGGTACCTGTGTGGTAGGGGATGCCTGAAGGTACTCTCTGGAGACCTACAGTGCTATGCTAGACCTTCAGGAGGTTGTGTCAGATTGAGACTCGTCGTTGAAGGGTTACTGGCTACGTGTTTGGGGGGGGGACAAGCGTTCAGGATTGTGGATGTGTCGGGGTTTCCGCTCAAATTGTTGATGCCTCTGCAAGCCTGACACTCGGAAGATAATGCCCCGACGCATGAGGTTGAGAACAAGGACTGGCACGAGAACAGCGAGGACCTCCAGTACCCCAAGGGCTCATGACGTGTGTGTGTGTGTTGTTTCTGCGCTTTGTGGAAGAATCATCACTGTCTTTGCTTCTGGTTGAGTCGCCGGAACCCGAAGATAAGTAATAGTCCACGAAGTATGCTTAGCCAGTTGAAGCGTGTTCTATCAGGTTGTCCCGGCCCTGATCCTGGGACCCCAAACGCCTCTGCATACTGAGTTTAAGACTGATTGAAACTGGACTGACGAGGTTCTCAGGGTACCCTAAACCGTAAACCCTAAACCCTAAACCCTAAACCCTAAACCAGACGGCAAGATTGGGGAATACGGCTCTCTGCGGGAGCTCCCTGATTGAGTCCACCAATGGTGCTTCGAACCACAACAGAGAGCCGAGACGCTACTTGGGAGTTTCAGAAAATTAGGGTACTTATTTTGGGGTCCTTACAATAGGGATCTTATTATTTAGGGTACTATANNATTTTCGGAAACCCCCACTTCTTGCTTCTGCAACGACTTACGCACACCATCCTGGTACCCAACAGCCCCGATTCCAATCCGAACCCCAGCTCGGGGACCATGCGAAGTGGTAAGTAGACATTAGACTCCCTTGCCCTAAACCAGACAACCCGTATAAGCACTAGGTCGCAGACTCTGGCCTTTGATCCATAAATAAACCGTTCACCGCAATCTTCAATCCCCAGAATTTAACTCGAAGTCCTTGGGCTCCAAGTGTTAGACCCCAGGATGATAGCTCTCGCTCTTTAAGACCTTTGTGGGCACAAGTCTCCAACGGCATTTCCAGCCTTGGATAGTTTTAGGGTTTTGGGGTTTAGGGTGCTTAGTTCTAGAGAACCCTTACCCACCCCTTCCAGGAGGATAAGTGGCGTGGTTATGGCGTCCTGATCTCGCAAGCGCCAGGCGGCTGGACCGGTTTAGAACTTAGGGTTTCATAGAGCTTTGGCTTTCATGGTTGAAGGTTTGTCTTTTGGGTTTCCGCAAACACTTGCAAGCAGAAATCTGCCAGAAACACTATTAGTTCATCCTTGTAGTTATGTTGGAGCAGAGAGCTTTCATAGCATTGATCTGAGAGTGCGTTTGCTGCAGTAGGCCCAGCTGGAGACCTGGAATTAAGGTACGGGACGTAAAGAGTCCATTTTTGGCTATTGAGGGCTGTAGGGGAGTACATTTGGGGGGGGGGGG